TAGTCTTCACTGAAGGCCTAGTGGTATATGTACTATCAAAAACGCCCACAAAGATAGTAAGTTCATCTCCCTTCATGTGTACACACAACCAGAGCCAGGTATGTTCAAACACAAGTATATTTTTTTTCTTTGATTTTTATATTAGTGTATGTTTGCTTGGTAAATAGTTCATCCTGGGGAATTGGTATTTCTAATCTTGAGCCTTTTTTACTTCCCCTTACCCTTCCTCCCATCTTCCTCACACTCATCTCCAGATCTCCTTTGTGTTCTTTCAAAGAATCAACTCTTTGATTCGTTGATCTTTCATATTTTTTTTAACTCTCAATTCATTTATTCTTTGTATTTTCTAATTTTTTTTTATTTTTTATTTTTATGGTACCAGGGATCGAACTCGGGTCCCTGTGCTTGCGCAGCAGGCAGAGAAACCACTGAGCTAAATCCCCGGCCCTATTCTTTGTATTTTTTAATCTCAGTCATTAATTTCCACTCTAATCTTTATTTCTTTCCTTCTATTAATTTCAGATTTGGACTTGTTTTTCTAGGACCTTGCAATGCATCATTAGATTATTTGTTTGGGATTGCTTAATTCTTTTAATGTGTGTATTCACAGGTATAAACTTTCCTTTTAAAACTGTTTTCATTGTGTCCTGTTGGTTTTTCACCTGGTGTGCTTCCACTGTCACTTGATTCTAGGAACTTTTTTATTTCTTCCCTGATTTCTTCTGTGATCCATTGATTATTCAGTAATATATTGTTCAGTCTCCATGTGTTTGAGTAATTTCTGTGATTTCTTTTGCTTCTGATTTCAAGCTTCATTCCACTCTGATTCAGTATCATTGGAGGGATTATCTCAATTTTTGTATTTTTTTAAGCATACTTTATGGCCTATTTTAGAAAAAGTTCCATATGCTGCCTAGAAAAATGTGTATTCTGTTGTTTGACAAAACAGTCTGTAGATAGATATCTATTAAGTCCGTCCTTCACAAATTTGTGTCACCCTTGTGCAGAAGTCCGTTTGTTCAGCGGTGTGGTTCAACTCTAATATTTCCTTGTTAATTTTTTGTCTGGTTGGCCTGTCTGGGAGTGGAGTGTTGAAGTCCCCTGCTATAATTATATTGGTGTATATCTGCCCTTTTAAGTCCTACAGTTACTGTTTTATGAAGTTGGGTGCTCCAACATTCAGTGCATAGATACTTAGAATTATTATCTCTTCCTATTGAATTGCTGTCTTTACCAATATGTAGTAGCTATCTTTGTCTCTTTTGATCAGTTTTGGCTTGAAGTTTGCTGGATCTGAAAATAAGGAAGCTACTTCTGCTTGTTTTGGGGCTCCAGTTGAACGGAGTAATATTCTTCATCCTTTCATATTCAGCCTATACACTTCTTTTGGATAAGATGTGTCTCCTGTAGGCAATAGATGATTGCATTTTGATTTTATATCCAATCTCCCAGTCTGTCTTTTGATTGGGGAATTGATAATGTTAACATTGAGAGTTATTACTACAAGGTATTATTGAATCCTGTCATTGCATTATTTTTTCAGTGCTGATTCCTTTTTATCCTTTTGTTTAACTACTTTCCCAGTTAGATATATACTTTCCTTTGGGCTCTTTGGTGCTGATGGCCACCCTGTTTCTATCTAGGATTCCCTTAAGTATTTTTGTAATGCTGATATAATGGTCTTGTATTTCTTCAAGAGTTCTTTATTGTGGAAAGTTTTTATTTCTCCATCAATTTTGAATACTAATTTCACATGATATTAAAGTCCAAGTTGACAGTTATTTCCCTTAAGGCTTAAAAAACTTAGCTCCAAGCTCTCCTGGCCTTTAAGGCTTGTGCCAAGAGAACTACTGTAATTCTGATAGGCTTGCTTTTGTCTAACAGCTTTTAGTATTCTCTTTGTTGAATTTCTGGAATTTTGATTGTGATATGTCATGGAGAGATTCTTTTCTGGTCATGGCTATTTGATGTTCTATATGCCTCTTATATTGAAGATTGAATTCTGTCCCTAGATTTGCAAAGTATTCTGCTGTGATTTCAGTGAATAGAATTTTTATATGTTTTGAATCATCTTCTGTTTTTTTCTTTAGTCCCATCATTTTGAGGTTGTTTGTTTTTTGAGTCATCCAGTAATTGTTGGATCTAGCTTGCATGGTATCTTGTTTTTAAGGTATCATTGAGTTATAATCTATGACACCCACCCATCTTCAGTTTTTCACATTGTCTTCGTATTTATTAAATCTACTCATGCTTTCCATTAAATTTTTCATATCTTCTATCTCTGCTTGCCTTCTTTTCATAGTTTCTAATTCTTCGCAAAGTGGTCATTCACATCTTGTCTTATATTATCTTAATCATTGTTTCTTCTTTAAGTTTGAACATTTTATTGGTAAAATCCTTTATTTAATTAAATCTGAGCTTGTTAAAGTCCTATGCATTTGCTTTTCTGTTTCTTCATCATTGCAGACACTTTGACCACTTAGTTTTTGGGTTCTTTGCCAAAAACTACCTCTGCTTCGATGTCCATGAGACAAGCTTGGGAGTTGGGAGTTTTGGAAGCTATCCTCTTGCCTTGATTTCTCATGTTTGTATTGTTTTATGCTGTGAGTTAAAGATCGGTTAGAGTAGAGAAACTGTAACTACTGTGGAGATCTCTTTAATTTGATTCTGTCTCCCTGTGATGTGTCCTTGGGTTTGGTTATGGTTTAGTTTAGTTTATATCCCTTTTCATCCTATTCAGCATATTTGAGAGTCTTCTCTGAGGGCTTGATCCCCAGCACCAGTCAGACAGAAGAAAACAAACCCCAGTAATGTTGGTGGTGCAAAGACAGACCAGCTAAGGTCATACAGTAAAAACCAATTAAAAGGAATAGCTATGCCACCATTAACAATAAAAATGAAATCAGCAATAATAAAAATACAAACCATATAAACCAATAATAGCTAGTGCTATGCTATCCTTAACAATGGAAGAGATTTACAATGATAACATAGATACCAAGACAAACAAAATATTGACATACAGTAAGTATCTACTTAAAAGCAAGAATTATACCACTATTAACAATAGAATTCAGTAGTAATAGCATAGTCTCAACTAAATAGGAAAAGTGAATAAAACTCAATAATATTACAATAGGGTTAGTAATTATAATAGAGTGAGAGATGGGGGAAATGAAAGTAAAATTTGACAAAAGGAAGAAGAGAGAAAAATGAGATTAGATCCAATTTAAGAATAAAAGAAAGTTTATAAATAAAAGTAACAAAAAGACAAAAAAATGAAAAGAGAAAAGAATAAAAACAAATGGCATGGGGCCGGGGATTTAGCTCAGTGGTTCCGCCGCCTGCCTTGCAAGCACAAGGACCCAAGTTCGATCCCCAGTACCAAAAAAAAAAACCAAAAAAACAAAAATGGCAAAAGATAGGAAGAATAGAAACCCAAAAAACAAAAAGAGAAATGAGTCCAAAAATATTCTTGCATGTGTTTGAGTGATTTCTTTCCAGGGCATGTGGTATTGGAATCTAGTAGATATGGTTGAGGAATAGTGATTAACAATTAGGGCCTATTTTGTTTCCACTTCCACTTTTTGCTGTATAAAGGCTGAGTCCTGCTCCACCTTTCTTGAAGGGTGTTGCCAATCTGGTTTGGTGTCTGCCTCAGGACTGTATTCACTTCGGTGGATGTTAGTGTTTGTACCCTTCTGAGTGCTTCAACTCACTGCTTTCTCTGACTAGCTTTATGGCCTGTGGGCTCCTGAGGTGCCCCACCTTGCTCCAGAGGCTACTTTGTCCATACACTCCTGGATGTGGTAACTGTCTAAGCCAAAGCATATCCCTGGTCAGTTGGCAGATAGGAAAAGCAAGCAGATCACTGAACTCTGTGCTGGAAGTAGTCAGCAAGAGGGGCCAAATAGTCCACTAGACTTAATGTCAGCACTTTCAAACCCAGTCCCCTCCAAAAACTATAACCAGCCTGGCTTCTCACCAGAGGATGGGACCACCTGTTCTTCACAGCCTTAGCTTGTTCTCTTTAAACTTCTCAGGGGATCTACAACTATCCTTTGTGGCCATCTCCCACCCAGCCACTGGTAGGGTGACCCCAGAGACCCTGAAGTGTAGTTGTTCTGTGATTTGTCATTCCCATAGTAACTCAGTCTTAATAAATCCCTTCCCCAAATGGCTCCTGATTATATTACTCCCAAGAATGGCAGATGCCACCTTGAGTTTCTTCTCTAACTTTAGCCTGCCATGCAGAAGGAATAACTTACAGGATAAAATCCCATGCTATATTTGCAGTTTACAATACCGTGGGCTTTTCTTGGGACTAGTACTGCCAGCCTAGTCTGTTGTTTTTCTCTGGGCCTGCCAACCCACTCTGACCATACTTTATGTTAGCGAAGACCTGTCCCACTCCCTGAGAGCCAGGGTTAGCATTCTGGGCTGCTTTGTTCTTTTCTCTGCATTGCTTTCAGTTTCTCTAGTTTCTTTCTGGTTTCTAGTTTTCCTGTCAGCTCTTTCTTTTTTTCTCTTTTGGTACCAGGGATCGAACTCAGGACCTTGAGCTTGCCAGGCAGGCGGCGGAACCACTGAGCTAAATCCCTGGCTCTGTTTTATATGTTTTGAGGGAATTTCAATGTGTATAAATGTATTTTGATCATATTCATGCCCCCTACTTAGAGTTCTCTTGTATTATTATTTATCTTCAATAACAGAAGGAATACAAAGCAGCATAATAATCGTATAGCCAAATATATTTGTTTATTTTAAAGCTGGAAAAGACCCAAAGCAGTCTTATGCCTTTCTCTAATCCTCTACCCCAGCTAGACAACATTCTGAAGAATCACACAGATTACGTTGGCCAGTAGTGTCAAGCTCTAAACATTTGTATGTAAATTGAGCAAATTAAAATGGTTTTTGTGTTTTCTCAACAATGTCTATGTTTTGTCTTTTTCAATTATATTATTCCCTTAGTGGAAGCTTCCTGTCTTTTCCTGTTTCAGGATTATAGCTGGACAGACATCCGCTGCCCCTTTGAAAAGCGAAGAGATGCAGCATGCGTATTTTGGGACAATGTAGTGTACATTTTGGGTGGCTCTCAGCTTTTCCCCATAAAACGAATGGACTGCTACAATGTAGTAAAGGACAGCTGGTACTCTAAACTGGGCCCTCCAACTCCTCGAGACAGCCTTGCTGCCTGTGCTGCGGAGGGCAAAATTTATACCTCTGGAGGCTCAGAAGTAGGTAAGGACTTCTTGATATTTTTGTTCAAGAGGAGTTCTTTTAAAGTCAGATATCTTGGCTTTCATATTTAGATATAAACTGGTATTTATTCACACACTTTTTGGTATTTTAAATACATGTCTGTCACATTTTAGAACCCATTTCCTTGAAGGCTCACCTTAATCCTTTAAGTCAAGAATTTGTAAGAATGCCAGCTTCCTGTATTCTTAATTGCCCATTTTTTATTATGATGAAGCATTAGTTGACACTATCTGAATTTTAGTTCTAAATTAGTTATTTCTTGGTATGTAGTATTATTTGCTTTAAAGATTTCAGAATTTGACTTATAACCCTTTAAGAACTTTTTATATATTCAAGCTTTTAAAATCTGTATTACTTTTTGTATTACTTTTTTTCTTTGTATCAGTACAAACAATGGTCTTTTTCATTTGCTTTATGTGTTAAGATTTTAATCTAATGACTAGTAATGGTATTTTATGCTTATTAATCAAAATAGGATGTAGGTGTGGGTATAAAAACCTTTCTCATTGATGGCTAACTTTTTAGTATCTAGTAATCTTTTTCTAAATGAATGATTTTTCTAAATGAATATTCTAGGTGCAGACTAGACACGTAATAGCTTTTATATGCTTTCATCTTTTCAAATAATTTCTTTAGCTAAATAATGAGTTTATAAGGAAAACTAGGAAGACCAAGTAAATGTAAGGTATGGAATTTAAATGTTAGTCTTTTTATTTTTCTTTGACTATTTTGATATTAACTCATATAATGTTTTACTTTTGGTTAGCATATTTATCTGATTTATATTTTTACCCCCCACTATATGTCAAATGTATACAAGAAAAAGTATGATTTTTTGAATGTCACTTAAAATATCCTCTTTAAATGCATTCTCCACATAATGTCATAATATGGCATATTTCAAATACATAGTCCTAAAAATGACAGAAAGTAAATGTTCTGTAGTATACTAGATAACTTCATTTCTTAGCATTCACTCTAAGTCAATTTTTTGCTTAAATAGTGGGTTTTTTCTTTTAATCTACAGAATCCTGCAAAAAAAGTATACATCAGACAATGAAAACTTGTATAAATATTTTACTTCTTTTTTTGTGTTTTGTTTTGTTTTTGTTTGTTTTTGGTACCGGGGATCGAACCTGGGACCTTGCGCTTGCAAGGCAGTCGCTGGAACCGCTGAGCTAAATCCCTGGCCCTTTTAATTCTTAATTTACTGAGACATCATGAGATTAATACAAGTTACTTTGACCTCTACAATTATAAGAGGTGCTCAGAATGGTGGCCATTTGTTTCTAGACATTTATTAGGGTAGCAAACTGCAAAAGTGTGTATATTTGGTGGACTCTGTATATACTGTATATTTTCTAGTGTCTGTCCATCAGCCTGAATCTATCAAATGTTTAAAAAGCTAAAAACAAATTACTGGGCCGGGGATTTAGCTCAGTGGATTCGCCGCCTGCTGCGCAAGCGGAAGGACCCAAGTTCAATCCCCGGTACCAAAAAAAAAAAAGAAAAAAACAAATCATTGCTGGTCATGCCCATTGCTGCTTCTATTTGTTATTCTCTGATCATGATGGCTGTGTTGTAATTATTTTTGTATCATTTGGCATTACCCCAAAACTGTGGGAGATAAGAAATAAAGCGGGCCAGGGATTCAGCTCAGTGGTTCTACCACATGCCTCGAAAGTGCAACGTCCTGAGTTCGATCCCCCTTACCAAAAAAGAAAGAAATAGGTAAAGTTCTCACTTCTTTTTTCTTAGGAAGGAAAAAACAACACTTAATCTTTAATATTATTTCCAAAATTCTTTATCAAGATTCTGTAAGGTGTGAAGTTGCAAAATATGATGAGTATATGTATTTTTTAATGTACAGTCAGTATACACCTTATATTTGATACCTTGAGAGTATTCTCAGGAATGACCGTGACTTCAGGGCTTATCCACAGAATCTGAGAGCAGTCAGGAAGTACGGTATAGTTTAGTTATGACGCAGTAGCTATTCTGGAATAGCAGACCCTAAGAGTATGATCAGATAGTAGTTTGCATGGTTTATGAAATTGTAATTTTCTTATTTTAAGGTGTGGATTTACCATCTGTAAGTAGCTATGCTTTCACACCCTCTATAAACATTTAAAAATTAGATAAATCCCAACATGTAGCAACTGGCCTTGAAGACATATATGTGTCTTATTTTCTTTTGAAATGCACCCAGTTTTCTTCTTCTGAAGTTTAATGACTAATAAATAAATCTTGCCAACACATCTTTTTTAAAATGTTCTTCTAGGTCTGTCAAACAGGGTTATTAGCTTTTTCTTAGACTATTTTACATTTTTGTTGTTGTTGAGTATAAAAATGACTCCACAACCCTAAATTCTTCCCTTTCATTACTTATATCTCTGTCCTGCAGTCATTTTACTCCAGCACCACAAAAACACATATAAGTTAAACATGATGGGGTCCTTTTCTTTTACAGGAAATTCAGCTCTGTATTTATTTGAGTGCTATGATACAAGAACAGAAAGCTGGCACACGAAGCCCAGCATGCTGACTCAGCGCTGTAGCCATGGGATGGTGGAAGCCAATGGCCTGATCTATGTTTGTGGTGGGAGCTTAGGAAACAATGTTTCTGGAAGAGTGCTTAATTCCTGTGAAGTTTATGATCCTGCCACAGAAACGTAGGTACCAATTTAAAACTCTAACTTCACAGTTGTTCTGCAAGCTCAGTGGGAGATATAAAAAGGCAAAAGGAGCCCAGCAGAAGAATTTAGTTCTTATATTAAGACTGTACATACACTTGAATGCCTTGACCCTTCCTTTTCACCTTAAGAAATGGTTTGACCTTATACCCCATGGGAGGCCCTCTCTTTCTGGTCCTGTTTGTAAATACCTATGAATGAGATATGTCTGATTAATTCATCAAAATTCATAAATATTTTTGTTTGAGAGGTTAGGAAATACAAAAGGAAGGACTTTATAATCAGTAACAAATTTACCCTTAAGTAGAATATTATATATTGGCTTATGGTATTAATAAATAATACCCCCAGATATAATATCTTTTTGGGTTCATACTTCCTAAAGAAAATATGCTTGGATTAATGTGTATTAATAAAATAAAATTATTCTTAAATCAAGTGAGAAGCGAATAACTACTTTTCAAAAGGCAAAATGCTAAAGAATGACACAGCTAGTTTTTCTAACCTGTGATTAATGATAGGACTCATTCAGTGTATCCAAAGGAATTTTACTACTCAATTTTACCACTCTTGAATAATGGAGGTGGTGGTAAGCACAGTGACATTAAAGACCACTAGGAAACAAAACAAATAAGACCTCAGTCATACTTTTTGTTGACATACCCAAAGAACTTTAATAATAAAGATCACTTGTTCATTTGGTTGGGTTGTCCATTATTGTTCTTCTACCAAAACAAATTATTTAGTAAATATGTTCAAGTTAAACATTATACTGGAAAGTTGCACCAAAACTCTTATGCTTCATATTTTATATTTTAAAAATATTGCCACACACTACCAAGCATAGATATCTTCCATTCTATTGCTTTTTGTAACAGGTTAATTATATAATATGATCAATGATATACATTAATCTATTTGTGCTTCCTTTCTATTTTAAAATAAGGACTTATGGAAGCATAATCAGTAACCTTTTTTCCCAAAATAAAAGTGCAGTTACAATTTTTCTTTTCTCACTTTTTGCCCACCATGTTACTAATATAAGGAATTTCAAAGTAGAAGCAACTTGCCTTGAAATTTATCATTTGTTAAAGTGTTCAGACTGGTAAACTCTTAAGATCATCAAATATATTGCTTTCCAGTGGTTTTTAAAATATACCTTGTAGGGCAGGAGATTTAGCTCAGTAATTCCGCTGCCTGCCTTGCAAGCGCCAGGTCCCAAGTTTGATCCCCAGTACAAAAAAATAAATAAATAAAATAAAATAAAATATACCTTGCACTTGCTAGGGTAGGAGTGCTTATGTTCTCCCTCCATTATGAACCTCTACCTTACCTCTGTAAACCTGATGCTCAAAACATGTTGCAACATACTAGTTGGAAAACTGTAATCTGATTCATACTACTGCTTAATTATTTTTCCATTTCTAAAAAACCTTTTTAAAATTGAACCTATAACGATATAAACTCTGTACTTCTAAATTTTGAGATCTTTATTTGGGCAATATCAGTATAAATCAATATGTTCTCATTCATAGGGGAGAAGTATAAAGGAATTCTGTAACCTTTTTGGGGGGGCGGGGTACTGGGGATCAAACTCAGGTCCTTGCATTTGCGGGTCAAGCAGCGGCACCACTGAGCTAAATCCCTGGCCCAACCTCATTATTTTTTAAAAGTAGGTGAATATAGGGCTGTGGATGTAGCTCCGTGATAGAGCAGTAGGAGTGGAAGAGCTCTAGGTTCAATCCCCAGCATCACAAAACTAAAAATGAACAGACAAAATACTAGATGGATACTCAGTTTGAGGAATGTGTACAGACCTAGCATTTCTTTTCTTTATATTGAGCTTACATGTTAAGTTTGAAGCCTCCGTTTTCTTCAGTGCTCTTCAATTTTTATTTTGTGTACATAATTAGCCAATTCTCACTATAAGTGTTGTATACTACACTTTTCTTTCTAACATGTTTAAATTGTGTAACTTATTTTTGTAAGAACTCTTCTTTCCAATTTTTGACATTTTCCTTAAGCGTTTTGTAACTAGAATGTGTTTAATTGGAAGCCAAAAAAGTTAACCTATGGCAACAACATGACACAGTTTGAACAGTCAGAATTTTAAGTAAATCTTCTAAACGCTAAACTTGAGATGGATGAGCAGGGATGATGCACAGTACTCTGAATATGAATTATAGAAGGAAGAGGATGTGTGCAGCTTTCTTCTATACTGTCAGGAGGTTTAGATACACACAGAAACACGCTCTCACTTTATATCATTGACACATTTGGAGAAGAAAGAGATACATAAAGTTTTTCCAAGCCAAATACTAAGTTTAACACAGGATAACACCTCACTCTGTAAAGCTCACCATGTGGAGTGGCAGTGGACACCTCGTACTCACTGGCCCTCCCACTTCCACGCTGTGTGCTGGCCATTTCATATGAACAATCATGTGTGAGCTTCCTGAAAAATAAGCTGTGCTGCCCACCTCACCTTACAAGGTGCTCCAAAAATGAGAGTGGTGGCTGTGGAGCCATTTAAAACAAAAAGCAGTGTATATAACACAACAAAAGAATTGTTAATATTTAATATTTCAGATTAAGTCATTGTGCCCTAGGTATGTTTTATAAGGTCATATCTATGAAAAAAATCCTTTTGGAGAGAGAGAAATTACTGTCTTAGAGACTTACACTTATGCCACATTTCCCTTTAGCTGCTGTCCTTAGGGTCTTTGGGGATATGTTAATTGTTAGAGCACAAGCCTTGTGTGCCAGGGCCACCTTCAGATTGACAGATGCCAATCATGGAAATGTATTCAGAAGGAGCACTGGACTCTCAGAAAAAATAACCAAACACAGTTGTCTGTGTTATTTATGTGTGCGATGATACTACCTATGAAATTGGTATCCTTCAACACTGTGTCCACCTTTTTACTCTCAGTGTCGTTATTTATGATTGTGGGCAGAGCAACAGGATGTTATTAAACTTGACAAAATTATAGAACTTTTTAAATCAAAGTTGCTGTAAGTCCTTAGTATTGTTTTAAAGATGGAAATTCTGATTGCCTGGGTCCCATTATGACTTTATGATGTACCTACATATACATAAATATTAACCACATATAGCCAGGCATAGTGACACATGCCTATAATTCTAGCACTCTGTGGGGCTGAGACAAGAAGATAGCAAATTTGAGCTCAGCCTAGGCAACTTAGACCGTCTCAAAGTAAAGAATAAAAAAGGAGTAGGGATTCAGCTCAGTGCAAAAGCCTTGAGTTCAATCCTCAGTAACATTTTTTTTAAAAAGGTGACAGAATTAGTGCTTTATATTCTCTTCTGTTTCTTTTTGTTGCCATTTTAAAAGTAAACCATAGGAAATAGATGCCTTTCAAAGTTGTGTTAATAATCTCCAGATATCCTCTGTTTCTCGTATTCTATCAGAGTTTAAAAGAATAGAATCCCAGTTTATCCCACCTATAAAAAACTAACCCTGGGCCGGAAGTTTAGCTCAGTGGTGCCAGCGCCTGCCTGCCAAGCGCAAGGTCCTAAGTTCGATCGCCAGTTCCGCAAACAAAACAAAACAAAACAAAACAAAATAAAAAACTAGCCCATAATCCCTGTTAAACTCGTTTTCTAGTCTGTCAAACATCTTGTGTATACATATGTTAGCATACATAGGAGTAAATGAACATTTATTTGTATTAGGATAACAGACCTCTCTTATTAGTATAAATCACTGTACTTCCTGTAAATAAGCACACTGAATACTTTCTTTTGTCCTTTTCAGATGGACTGAGCTGTGTCCAATGATTGAGGCCAGGAAGAATCATGGGCTGGTATTTGTAAAAGACAAGATATTTGCTGTGGGTGGTCAGAATGGTTTAGGTATATGGTGATAATTCACTGTTCAATCTTCCTATATTTCCTCATCTTAAATTATTGAAGTGTTTCCTAAAATCTAAGTATAACCATTTACCACATATATCATTATATCTGTTTTTATAGTTTCTGGAAACAGTGAAACATTGCAGCCCTTTAGAGGAACTGGAACTGTAGCTCAGTGGTAGAGCCTTTGCCTCAGCTGCAAGAGGCCTGGGTTAGATCTCCAACACTGTAAAAATGAAAACCAAAAAATCATTAGAAGCTTTTGGCCTTGTATCTGGGCTCTAAATAATAAATTTTCCTAAACATTTTTAAGCATTGCATGAAAAAAATACCAATATTATTGTGATGAATTTTGATCTCCCTATTTTCTTAAATAATTATGTCCTAAAGAATCTTAAGTAGTTTTTTTTTGGTACCAGGGATCAAACTTGGGTCCTTGTGCTTGTGCAGCAGGTGGGGAAACCACTGAACTAAATCCCCAGCCCTTAAGTAGTTTTATTAAATAATGGGCAATCTGAACTGAATCTAGAGGTAGTCATGGCTTCATTTTGGGCTGTACATTTAAGCTTTAAGTATAACAAAATAACTGGGCCGGGGATTTAGCTTAGTGACGCCACTTCTGCCTCACAAGCACAAGTTTCTCAGTTCGATCCTCGGTACCAGAAAAAAAGAAAAAACTTCTTTTCCATCTATCCTCATCCATTGCTATTTTCTATAAATGGCTAAAAGAAGAAAAAAGACATTTGAACAATTATCATCAAAGTTAATCGGAGAGGAAGTCAATTGTTTGCTTTTTTATTTTTCCAGAATGGACAGAACACTTAATTTTGTAGAAAAAAAAAAATCAGTATGATTCTTTAAAATTTTTAGATTAAATTTATATTGTGTTAAAGTAAAAAGAATTTAAGAAGTAGATATGAGGGCATTTATTATAAAATTCTTGTAATCTTTGGGTTTGAAAATTTTATTTTGAAAATAAAATGTTGGAAAAATACAAAAATGATTAGGAGATCTTAGAATTGTTCACATAGTTTTTCATGTTATTCATGTTGTTTTATTCTTTTGAAGGTGGTCTGGACAATGTGGAGTATTATGATATTAAATTAAATGAATGGAAGATGGTGTCACCAATGCCATGGAAGGGCGTGACAGTGAAGTGTGCAGCAGTTGGCTCCATCGTTTATGTCTTGGCTGGTTTTCAGGGTGTAGGCCGATTAGGACACATCCTCGAATATAACACTGAAACAGACAAATGGGTGGCCAATTCCAAAGTCCGTGCTTTCCCAGTCACAAGTTGTTTAATTTGTGTTGTTGATACTTGTGGAGCAAATGAAGAGACCCTTGAAACATGAAAAATGAGTAGACTTCAAGACTCATCAAGACTCGGAAATATGGCCACCAGAGCTTTGTTCCAAGAGTTAGTTACAAAGTTCTGGTGTGGTGTTTTGGTGAAGGAAATTTCAAGTGAGTGAAGTAAGATCCCTATAACATAATCCCTCCTTCCTTCCCCACTCTTGGAGATTGAACCCAGAGGTGTTCTACTGAGCTACATCTCCAGCTCTTTTATCTTGAGAGAGGGACTCTACATTGCCCAGACTGCCCTCCAACTTGGAATCCTCCTGTCTCAGCCTCCTATGTAACTGAGGTTACAGGTGTGCACCACCACACCTGGCTAAATATTTCTTTTACATGGATTTCCTTACTTAACTCTTAGACCATCATTTAGCTGGCCACATAATCAGGAACATATCTAGCAAGAAAACTTGAGAAATTATAAGCATTTGTTAGATATATTAATTTCTTGAATGAATTTTACATTTGTAATAATTATGGCAGAGTGAGGGATGCTCATCACTGACGCAACCTCATCATAGCTCTAGATTCTATTTTCATATACATGTAAGTGCTATGTAGTTAGGTCTGTTTGTTCCTGTTTGGTCCACAACTGAGAAATATGGTAGTATGACTTATAAGTCAAGATGGGTAGCTCTGATGGAACAGTTTTGTGTCTCATAGTTTTACTTGTCTTGCTTTGTTTCATTTACTGCCAAATGTATTCCATTTCAAAGAAAGCAGAGTAAGTCAGGGTATACACATACTTTCCTACAAAACCTCATAAACAGATTTTTAGACTCAACAATGTGTCCAATCCTCATGAAATAGATTCAATTCAACTCAATATGTTCCATCAGTTTAACATAAGATGTTAAACTTTGTGCCTATCATTAATTTTTTTTTTTTTACTCAGTGGTCTAAAAAGTGTTCTATAGCTTCAGTCCCCACTGTTAAATAAAATCCGGTCATAATGAGTGATTAGCAGAAGACAAAGATATTTAAAACTTCTAGATCATTAGAAAAACAGTGACAGATTTATCACAGTATCAATGTTGACTTTGAACTTCTTATTAATTAAAAAGATACATGATTTCTTTTCCCTTAGCAGAACACATGAGAGATATTTAATACAGTTGTCTCTAAAAGTTTTGTAATAATTTAAATGTATGTCATCACCTGTTCATTGCTTTTATGTGGTCAGTGAATTATTTGCCAACACAACTACTAATTTCTTTCCTGGTAATGTTTCACCCTTTTCATTATGTATGAAATGAGCCATGTAAAACTGTCATCGTCATTGTTTTTATCTGATAATATTAAATATTTTTTACTTAAAATAGACTGCTCAATTTTATTCATTCTTCATTCTCAATATGTTTGGTAGTTTTAAAATTTTTTTTCTGGTACCGAGTATTGAACTCAGCACTTTGCGCTTGCCAGGCAGGCACAGCACCACTGACCTAAATCCCCAGCCCCAGTTTTTTCAATTTTTGAAGCAGTGTTTCTATTTTAATTTTCTGTTTCCTTTATATGGAAGTTATAGTAATGTTAAATCCTAAGAGCATTTAAATTTAAAAGCATTAGAAAAACATAATGTCAGGTATATTTATATTTATGTAGGGTTTCTTACAGCTTTATTGAGATATAACTCATATACAATTCACCCATTTCGACTATACCTTTCAGTGGTTTTTAGTATATTCAGATTTATGCCAGCATCACCATAATTTCAGGATGTTATCATCACTCAGTAACAATCTCTCCCGATTTCCCCCCATATTAGTTTCCTATGGCTGCCATAACACATTACCACAAACTCTGTGGCTCAAAACAACAGCAGCTTATTTTCTCACCGTTCAGAAGGACAGGTGTCCTTTGTTGTTATATTAAGGTGTCAGCAGGATTAACTCCTATTTGAGCCTATGAGACAGAAACCACTCATGCCTGTCCCCCAGCTTCTGGTGGTGGCTGCCAGCAATTTTTGGCATTTCTCAGCTGCTCATTGCATCCCTTCAGCCTCTGCTTCCATCTTCACGTGGCCTTTTCCTCTGTATCTTCATGAGGTATTTTTATAAGGACAACAGTCATTGGATTTAGTGCCCCAATTAGATATGACCTTATCTTAATCACATCTGCAAAGATCCTATTTCCAAATGAAGTTTCATTCTGAGGTTCAAAGGGGACATCGAATTTTGGTGGTAACACTTCGGTCTAGTCATTACACCCCAAACACTACAGCCTTAGGCAATCACTAGTCTACCTTCTATCTCTAGATTTCACTATTCTGAACATTTTTATATAGGGTTTTAAATTTTGCACTCTGTCTTTTAGTATATGTGCTGCCAAAGCGAGCACAGCACTCTGTCTTTTAAAATGTGGCCAAATTTGTTGAGGGCAGAATATCCACTTATCATATTATAATATGGTTATACAGTGGACCCTTGAGTTACGTCCAGCCTGACATATGACTTGGGTTACGATTGGTATTTTAGTTTTAAATTATGACCAAAGTCTTGAATTATGACCTGAATGCCAGCCATTTGTCTTCCAGATGGTCTTAGATACAGATTTGACTCATTAAAGAGTTCTGGAAGGAACATTACAATATCCTTTCCTGTGTGGGGTTAATTGAGGAATCCTGGGCCTATGGCTTTAAGGAACTGAGATCTGCCTGTACTACAGGAGAGAGACTGAATGCTGGGTAGTAGAGCCTGAGCCTTCAGTTGACCAACTTGAGTTACAACCAATCCTCACAAATGAATTCAGTTCGTAAGTTGAGTCCACTGTATTAATAATTTAATTGCCCATGTAGGACATGCAGCACTCCTTAAGATACTTTAAATATATTAGCTGTTCTCTTTAGACTCTGTCAACTAACTTGAACACATTACAGTAATTATATAGATAGGTTTGGTGTAGGTTATAATGAAGTTGTTTTTCCCTTAGTAATCTGTATCATAATTCCTAACAAGTGCCTTTTTCTGCCCTAAAGCTATTATTCTACACAGTTGTCAATGCCAGGATAATCAACAAGTACATTTTCTTTTACTTTTTTTGGCAAAATGCTCCTATTCTATAAAGTGTTCTACTTTCCTTTTAGCAGATACTTGGTATGTTAGTGTTAGATCTTTTGCAGTGTCACTTTTGGGGTTTTTTTGAGCCAGGGTCTCACTCTTATTCAGGCTAGCCTTGAACTCACTGTGTAGCTATCCTAGGCTGGCCTCAAACTTGCAGCAATCCTGTTGCCTCAGGCTTTCGAGTGTTGGGATTACAGGCATGCACCACCACGCAGTGACACTTCTACTTACACAATTCAGTTTATACTTTTGGTAATCACAATTTGAACATGAAAGCTTAGCATTTTGATAAAAAAACATTATGACAAACCATGATTAATTACAGTCATGGGTTTGTGGCCTGGCTTTCAAAATTTTAACATGTAATCTTATGAAAAATATTTCAATGAACTATTTTGATGAGGCAATATTAACAATCAAAAGTGCCATTTATTAAAACAATTTATTCCCTTTGCCTTACCTGTGCAAAAACTTTGGATTTGCTGCATATGTGAAGGTTGATACTATTAACATATGCCAAAAACTTAAGCTAATCTCCAACATGCCATATTAAAACCAGTTCTCACCAAACCTCAATAAATTGATAACATGAAAGGACATTTTACAGGTTGCATCATTCAACACCTGGTAAGTGTTTATTTTTAAATACCATCCTTCCTCTTGACAGACATCTCAAAAAATTTTAAAAAGCTTCACTACCATCTTTCTAATTTTCCTCTTCAAGGTAATTCAAACTAATTTGGGACAAATCAATAAAAGAGATTCCCTGCTATCTTCTAACTCTAATTTTTCCCTCTTTAATTTCTAAGAACACTTTCTATTTTATTGTCCTTTTACATAGCATGCCATTCTTCTTTCATATTGTACTCAGGTTATTTTAGTTTCAACACTTTTTATACTCGATGTGTTTATTTCCTCTTAACTTGCTATTCTTTGCTACATGTACCAAGGTAAAGAAGATATTTAACAGTTTGGCGTCTGTCTCCAAATATCTGTTCCATGGCTATTTATATTTAAAATGAGATATTAAAAACTGGTGATAACTTTTGTGTACAGGATGAGTTTATGATAATCAGTAAACATGTGGGGCTGGAGTTGTAATTCAGTGGTGGAGTATATGCTAAGGATCCACAAGTCCTGGATTCAAGTCTCAGCACACACAAAAATCAAGTGTTATGGTTTATATCTAGATGTTCCCCCAAAGCCTCATGTGGTCATAGGTGAGGCTTTACAGAGGTAAATACATCTAGAGTGTGTGATGCTGGGATTAAGGGTATGTGATTACTAAATTAGTCCACTGATTGGTTTGGCATAGTTCTTGGTGTGGATATGGGAAGGCCTAACCTGGATGTGAGTGCTACCTGCCCTAAGAGTTTGTACCCTAGATAGAATATAAAGGACAGGGCCGGGGATTTACCTCAGTGGTTTTACTGCCTGCTGTGCAAGTGCAAAGACCCGAGTTCGATCCCCGATACCAAAAAATATATATATAAAGGACAGAAAGAGGACTGCTGTGGTCACTTGCTGCTTCACTACTTTGCTCCTTGCTGCCTTCTGCCTGCTATGAACTGTTTCTCCTCTGCCATGCCACCCTGCCTTGGAGCCAGCCAACTGTGAACCAAAACCTCTACAACTGAGCTACAATAAACTTTTCCTCCTTTAACTTTGGATATTGAGTATTTTGTCTCAACAATAAGAAAAGTTACTAGGAGAGTCAATGAACATAAAATAAGTGAATGACTTTTTGTTGGGGATCCATAAGAGATCCAGAGAGAGAGAGAGAAATTTTTTTTAAGGTAGGAATAGTTGCTTTCCTTGACGGGTTTTTGGAGCCATATTCTAACCATACCTTATACAGATACTCAATCCAAGCTCTTGTGGCATCTAGCAGCTCTTAATTCTTGAGACTTTTCAGCCTTCTCTGGGGTCTTCAATGTCCATCCTGCCAGAATTTAATTTGACCTTTTCCGTAAGTAATATACTGTCTTCTTCTTCAATATACACTCAAGGCTCCAAGTGGCCAAGTTAGGGATTTAAGCATTAAAATAAGTTATAGTAATGGATTATAACCCACTGGCTAAAATTGGAATCATGAGTCCATATCGATAGGAATATATACAAAATGAACTAAAAGTGTGATGAAGAGTCAGATTTTTATATACTGACAGTACCTCCCCACAAACTTCTTAATACCAAAGAGGAAAAGAGTAATTTTATGGTGGGGCTTCTTGGCAGACACCACTTCAACTGAGTGATCAAAGTGAACATCAGAGTAAATTGAACAAATTTAAATTGTGCATAATCTAATGGGTGCATTGTGAAGACAACATTTTTGTGATGATCCTTCCATAATGTATAAATCAAGTCATGAGAAAACATTAAACAACTTCACTGAGAAACTTCTACAACTATCCTCTAATCTTTTAATAGTGTCAAGATCTTGAAAATTAAAGACTGAGGAAATGTTCCAGGCTGAAAGAGACTAAGTAAATATAAGTAAAGCAACAATTACTCCAAACTGCACCCTTTTATGCAAAAGAACATTATTAGTACATACGGAGGCTAAGAAATAGATAATAGTAATAGATCAATATCAGTGTTCTAATTTTGATTCTGTCATGGTTAAGTAGAATATACCGTTGTATCAAATGTATAATATGAGGTGTGACTGACAAATATTGTGAATAATTTTTTTATTACAGTAAAAGATAGATTGCCATTAATCCCCCTCAAAATCCTCCCCCACTTAGAACAACTTATTCCATCATTCTTGCCACTTCCTGAAGCAGTATCTGGGTAATAGGTATTAGTTCTGCGACATAGACTCAAATGGTTGGAGGGTGGGGGAAGCTTTCTACTGTAACTTCCATAAATGTTTGAAAATAAATTTCATTGATTTTTAAAATACTAGTCTTTACAATAGTGTCTAGTGCTCCCATAGATCCCACTGTCTTCAAAATCCAAAGAATATGAGTGATAGCTCAGCTCTATAGTCTAATCATCCTAAAACCACCAGAGACAAACCTGGAATTCAACAAAGTCGGATTTATTAACTCATCAAACCAAGGAGACTGCACGTCAGAAATACATGATATCACACCATACAAAATAAAAGGCAGTTGTAGGATTTGGGGGCAAAGTGGAGATGAAACTGATGAGACTGTTTTGATAGGCTCAAAGCAAAGCAAACCTGTGTATGAAGGCATCGACATCAGGTCTAGACTGGAAAATAGGTTACAGGGTCATGTTCACTAGAAACTGC